CATCTCTTTCTCTTTCTTCCTTGTCATCTCCCTCATTGCTTCCCTCTGCCTCTCTGCTCGCCCTCTCTGTCACACTCTCCCCTCTCTCACCCCTTTGTCTTTCTTCCATTCAGTCTCCCTAGTTGCTTCTCTCTCCCTCGCTCTCCACCGCCTCTCTTTTTCTTGTCCTCTCGCGCTCTCTCGCTCTTTCGCTCGCTCTCTCTCTCGCTCTCTCGCTCGGGGCAGATGGACTTCTCTCCAGGAGGCCCCGAGGTCTCAGTAATCCGGCGGCCGTGGCAGGCTGGGGCGGCTCCTCCTTTCACCGGTGGTCTAGGTGCCATCCTGAGACGCCCTCCCTGTCTGGCTTCACTACTGTCATGACCACGAGCCAGCCATGTTGCAGTGCTGTGGGAAATACAATAGGCACAGACACAAAGAGGCACTATAAGGTTCCATGCTAACAAGGGTTTATAAGATCTTTATAAGCTTTAATAAGCCCATAATAATCCATTAACAAGGTATTTATGAGTGTTAAGAAGTTACCAGTTAAAGACAGCGAAAGGCACAGTACAAGGCATGGTTCCATGCCAACAAATCAAATCAAATTTTATTTGCAAGATGCACCGAATACAACATTACCGTGAAATGCTTACTTACAGCCCTTAACCAACAATGCATTTATTCCTTAATAAAAAAAAGGTTTATAATGCATTATAAGGCATTAACAAGACATTAATAAGGAATTAATAAGTGTAAGAAGTTACTTGTCATGTATAAATGACTTTTCAGGTTTGACATTGAGAAGGATATAATAAAAAGTAAATATGTTAATATCCATTAGGAAATGTTTTATTGTCAACATTTTAGTTCTTGCTATAAAGTATGCAATCTTTTCAAGTTCCCTGTGATAGCATGAAACAGGACGCTATGTCGAAACACATCAACTCACTTCCAAGTACTCGGCACTGCATTTATTTTCAATACACGTTTGGAATACAACAGTTAAGTGCACAACTAGCTACAGTACCAGTCAAAAGATTGGACACACCTACTCATTCAAGGGTTTTTCTTTATTTTTACTATTTTCTACATTGTAGAGTAATAGTGAAGACATCAAAACTATGAAATAACACATATGGAATCATGTAGTAACCATAAAAGTGTTAAACAAATCAAAATATATTTGAGATTTTAGATTCTTCAAAGTCGCCACCCTTTGCCTTGATGACAGCTTTGCACACTCTTGGTATTCTCTCAACCAGAGTCATGCTTTTCCAACAGTCTTGAAGGAGTTCCCACATATGCTGAGCACTTGTTGGCTGCTTTTCCTTCACTCTGCGGTCCAACTCATCCCAAACCATCTCAATTGGGTTGAGGTCGGGTGATTGTGGAGGCCAGGTCATCTGATGCAGCACTCCATCACTCACCTTAGTCCAATAGCCCTTACACAGATTGGAGGTGTGTTTTGGGTGATTGTCCTGTTGAAAAACAAGTGATAGTCCCACTAAGCGCAAACCAGATGGGATAGCGTATCGCTGCAGAATGCTGGTAGCCATTATGGTTAAGTGTACCTTGAATTCAGTGTCACCAGCAAAGCACCCACACACCATCACACCTCCTCCTCTATGCTTCACGGGGGGAACAACACATGCGTAGATCATCCATTCACCTACTCTACGTCTCACAAAGACACGGCGGTTGGAACCAAAAATCTCAAATTTTGACTTATCAGACCAAAGGACAGATTTCCACCGGTCTAATGTCCATTGCTCGTGTTTCTTGGCCCAAGCAAGTATTTTCTTCTTATTGGTGTCCTTTAGTAGTGGTTTCTTTGCAGCAATTCGACCATGAAGGCCTGATTCAAGCAGTCTCCTCTGAACAGTTGATGTTGAGATGTGTCTGTTACTTGAACTCTGTGAAGCATTTATTTGGGCTGCAATCTGAGGGGCAGTTATTCTAATGAACTTATCCTCTGCAGCAGAGGTAACTCTTGGTCTTCCTTTCCTGTGGCGGTCCTCATGAGAGCCAGTTTCATCATAGCACTTGATGGTTTTTGTGACTGCACTTGAAGATACTTTAAAAGTTCTTGAAATGTTATGGATTGACTGACCTCCATGTATTAAAGTAATGATGGACAGTCATTTCTCTTTGCTTATTTGAGCTGTTCTTGACTTTATATGGACTTATCAAATAGGGCTATCTTCTGTATACCACCCCTACCTTGTCACAACACAACTGATTGGCTCAAACACATTAAGAAGGAAAGAAATTCCATAAATTAACTTTTAAGAAGGCACACCTGTTAATTGAAATGCATTCCAGGTGACTACCTCATGAAGCTGGTTGACAGAATGCCAAGAGTGTGCAAAATATATTTTGATTTGTTTAACACTTTTTTGGTTACTACATGATTCCATATGTGTTATTTCATAGTTTTGATGTCTAAACTATTATTCTACAATGTAGAAAATAGTAAAAATAAAGAAAAACCCTTGAATGAGTAGGTGTGTCCAAACTTCTGACTGGAACTGTGTGTGTGTGTGTGTGTGTGTGTGTGAGAGAGAGAGAGATACATACAGTGGCTTCGGAAAGTATTCAGACCCCTTGACTTTTTCCACATTTTGTTACGTTACAGCCTTATTCTAAAATGGAATAAATAAATAAAAATTCTCAGCAATCTACACACAAAACCCCATAATGACAAAGCAAAAACAGTTTTTTTAGAAATTTGCGAAAATGTATAAAAAAAAGAAACCCCTTATTTACATAAGTAAATACCCTTTGCTATGAGACTCGAAATAGAGCTCAGGTGCATCCTGTTTCTATTGATCGTCCTTGTGACGTTTCTACAACTTGATTGGAGTCCAGCTGTGGTACATTTAATTGATTGGACATGATTTGGAAAGGCACACACCTGTCTATATAAGTTCCCACAGTTGACAGTACATGTCAGAGCAAAATCCAAGCCATGAAGTCAAAGGAATTGTCCGTAGAGCTCTGAGACAGGATTGTGTCGAGGCAGAGATCTGGGGGAAGGGTACCAAAACATTTCTGCAGCATTGAAGGTCCCCAAGAACACAGTGACCTCCATCATTCTTAAATGGAAGAATTTTGGAACCACCAAGACTCTTTCTAGAGCTGGCCACCCGGCCAAACTGAGCAATCGGGGGAGAACCTAAATACTCTGACCATGATGAAACCAAGACTGAACTCTTTGGCCTGAATGCCAAGCGTCATGTCTGGAGGAAACTTGCCACCATCCCTACGGTGAAGCATGGTGGTGGCAGCATCATTCTGTGGGTTTGTTTTTCAGCGGCAAGGACTGGGAGACTCGTCAGGATCGAGGGAAAGATGAACGGAGGAAAGTACAGAGAGATCCTTGATGAAAACCTGCTCAGGACCTCAGACTGGGGCGAAGGTTCACCTTCCAACAGGACAACAACACTAAGCACACAGCCAAGCCAACGCAGGAGTGGCTACGGGACAAGTCTCTGTATGTCCTTGAGTGGCCCAGCCAGAGCCCGGACTTGAACCCAAACGAACAACTCTGGAGAGACCTGAAAAAAGCTGTGCAGCAACGCTCCCCATCCAACCTGGCAGAGCTTGAGAGGATCTGCAGAGAAGAATGGGAGAAACTCCCCAAATACAGGTGTTCCAAGCTTGTAGCGTCATACCCAAGAAGAGTCGTTGCGGTAATTGCTGCCAAAGGTGCTTCAACAAAGTACTGAGTAAAGGGTCTGAATACTTATGTAAATGTTATATTTCAGTTTTCTATTTTTAATACATTTGCAAAACTATTTTTGCTTTCTCATTATTGGGTATTGTGTGTAGATTGATGAGGAAAAAAAGCAAATTAATCAATTTCAGGTTAAGGCTGTAACAAAATGTGGAAAAAGTCAAGGGGTCTGAATACTTTCCAAAGGTACTGTGTATATATATATCAGGGCAATGTATGTAGTACAAAGTAGTATGCTTTCAAGAAAAAATAACCATCAAATACTGTTTTCATTTCAAAGGAAATAGAATGGGCAGAGTCCTGTAGTTTAAAGACGAAGCTTGCATTTTCTATGGCTCCATGACAAAATTATGTCATAAAGGAACAGTCATGTACAGTGACTTCATATCAGAACAAGTCCGATCTCTCTTGGATCTGTATGTTTTGGCTGCTGTTTGCAGGTTAAATGGACTCTTTTGTGTTTGAATTGGAGCGTTTCCTCCAGGTTCCCTTGGTCCGGCTCCAGTCCCTGCATACACTAAACCACATGTACTGCAGAGAAAGACACTGTGTCTTTGTGAAGAGAACTCATTGTGTGTGAGGATGTTTGTCAGGGATTGTGGCCACACAGGCTGCCAGTCAAATGGTACAGGGTAGAAAAGAGTCCCTATTGTCATCTGTAATAACCCGTGATAGGAACGGTATGGAGTTTGTAGACATTCAGAGCAATTCACATGACAGTGGAATATTACGGATGCCAGGTGGATAGGAGTATTGATCAACATGAGGTTACATCACAATTCATGGGCCTTTAACGAATGGGCCACAAATATCTTAAACATCTGTCCGCACCTCTCAACGTCTTCAGTTTTTATGTAAAGCACAATGCACATACTTGTTTTGGGTCCATTCAATTGAATTTCCCACAAATACACTATGAAATACGTTACAAAGTCAAGAGTATGTATAGTGTTTGAAACCTCTTGGCTGCACAATGAAGTGCCCTACTGAGATGAAAAATATATTGATTGATATATCGATTGATTCTCAGCAACCTTCTGGCTTTTAAACATTTTGACTTCATCATAAAGTGTCTTAGTTTCTCGCTACGTGAAATTTGACAATGTGGAGAATATGTAATACTCTGCTGTATATATAATATGCTGTCATATATAGTACTCGGCACCTGTAAGGTCTATTAGATGTGCATATGGATGTACACTATTTGGATCAGTTTTAGGTATTGAAAATCCTCTTCCCCATAGCGAAGGCAGATGGTCACTCAGGTTCAATTGAGTTATAGCAGATGACGAGAGCCAAGAGCCTGCAGGTATGTGTTCAGCAGAAGCCAAGTCAGACACTATGTAATTCAATTGTTGGAAGAGGAGATACCTGAAGCGCCCTCCTATCCCTGTCACTGATCCCAAATCAGACTCATTGTTCAATGGAAAGTTATTAATAACCCTTTATTTGGACCATCCACCATAAAGCCGTTAGCATGACGTCAGAAATATTCCTAGTCAAGATATGACAACTGGCTTCAAACAGTCATGCCAATGTCACTCATCACTAAGGTTGTTAGCTGATGAAGTTGCCATGGAAGCCACATGCAATATTGTACAATATTATTTAAAAAATATAGACTTAAGCCTCCGTGGCTGCTCATGACAACTATTACATCATGCTTATTACAGTGTAATTGCAGTTTTATGACAGGAGTTTCAAGTCCATTGGTACTACAGAAGGTTGGTCATCAACTTGACACCTTGGCAAGATTTGTATTAATATTTGTAGTAGAAATGTCTCCCTCGCTCCCCAGTCATCTGAATCAGTGTTTCACCAATATGAACGAAGGGTTGAATGTGTGCATGAGGAATGTATAGCTTTGCATCATCTCTTGTTGCTGAGAATTCCATTAGCTGGCTGCAATAATCTTCAGAGGGACTTTAAGAGGCTAATTGATAGGAGTGCATGTTGATAGGAGTAACAGATATTTTAATTTCCACTCGCTCTTGGCGTCTGAGCAGTGGGAGTGCTTATTGCATACTCAATGAAGGGACAGCGATCTTTTGAGAGGGAAGTAACTAGCACACGAGGGGGGGGCGTATATTTATCAAGGGTCTCCGAGTAAGAGTGCTGATTTTAAGATCAGTTTTGCCTTTCAGATCTCAATAAATAAGATGACCGGGACTGGGGGGACCTGATCCTAGATCAACAGTCGACACTAAACGACCTTTGTGTTTATAGGCAGTAGCATACAGTGGGGAAAAAAAGTATTTAGTCAGCCACCAATTGTGCAAGTTCTCCCACTTAAAAAGATGAGAGAGGCCTGTAATTTTCATCATAGGTACACGTCAACTATGACAGACGAATTGAGGAAAAAAATCCAGAAAATCACATTGTAGGATTTTTTATGAATTTATTTGCAAATTATGGTGGAAAATAAGTATTTGGTCACCTACAAAACAAGCAAGATTTCTGGCTCTCACAGACCTGTAACTTCTTCTTTAAGAGGCTCCTCTGTCCTCCATTCATTACCTGTATTAATGGCACCTGTTTGAACTTGTTATCAGTATAAAAGACACCTGTCCACAACCTCAAACAGTCACACTCCAAACTCCACTATGGCCAAGACCAAAGAGCTGTCAAAGGACACCAGAAACAAAATTGTAGACCTGCACCAGGCTGGGAAGACTGAATCTGCAATAGGTAAGCAGCTTGGTTTGAAGAAATCAACTGTGGGAGCAATTATTAGGAAATGGAAGAAATACAAGACCACTGATAATCTCCCTCGATCTGGGGCTCCACGCAAGATCTCACCCCGTGGGGTCAAAATGATCACAAGAACGGTGAGCAAATATCCCAGATCCACACGGGGGGACCTAGTGAATGACCTGCAGAGAGCTGGGACCAAAGTAACAAAGCCTACCATCAGTAACACACTACGCCGCCAGGGACTCAAATCCTGCAGTGCCAGACGTGTCCCCCTGCTTAAGCCAGTACATGTCCAGGCCCGTCTGAAGTTTGCTAGAGTGCATTTGGATGATCCAGAAGAGGATTGGGAGAATGTCATATGGTCAGATGAAACCAAAATATAACTTTTTGGTAAAAACTCAACTCGTCGTGTTTGGAGGACAAAGAATGCTGAGTTGCATCCAAAGAACACCATACCTACTGTGAAGCATGGGGGTGGAAACATCATGCTTTGGGGCTGTTTTTCTGCAAAGGGACCAGGACAACTGATCCGTGTAAAGGAAAGAATGAATGGGGCCATGTATCGTGAGATTTTGAGTGAAAACCTCCTTCCATTAGCAAGGGCATTGAAGATGAAACGTGGCTGGGTCTTTCAGCATGACAATGATCCCAAACACACCGCCCGGGCAACGAAGGAGTGGCTTCGTAAGAAGCATTTCAAGGTCCTGGAGTGGCCTAGCCAGTCTCCAGATCTCAACCCCATAGAAAATCTTTGGAGGGAGTTGAAAGTCCGTGTTGCCCAGCGACAGCCCCAAAACATCACTGCTCTAGAGGAGATCTGCATGGAGGAATGGGCCAAAATACCAGCAACAGTGTGTGAAAACCTTGTGAAGACTTACAGAAAACGTTTGACCTGTGTCATTGCCAACAAAGGGTATATAACAAAGTATTGAGAAACTTTTGTTATTGACCAAATACTTATTTTCCACCATAATTTGCAAATACATTCATTAAAAATCCTACAATGTGATTTTCTGGATTTTTTTTTCTCATTTTGTCAGTCATAGTTGATGATGAAATTTACAGGCCTCTCATCTTTTTAAGTGGGAGAACTTGCACAATTGGTGGCTGACTAAATACTTTTTTTCCCCACTGTACATCCTCCTTGGTATATCAATGTTGATTACCAGAGTGCAATGCATCAGTATCCACTGGGGATATATCACCACCAGCTTTTCCAAAGTCTAAATTAATTCCTCTCTTTTTTATCTTTCAGAGGCTAAAATGGGAGGCAAGCTCAGCAAAAAGAAGAAGGGATACAATGTAAACGATGAGAAGGCCAAAGACAAGGATGCCAAACCAGAGGGCGCGTCAGCCGAGGAGAGCGAAGCCCAGAGCGACAAAAAGGATGAGGCCCCTGCTCCCGCCGAGACCACCGAGGTAGCCAACGACGCAAAGGACGCGCCCGCAGCCGATGCCACGACGACCAAGGAGGAAGAAAAGGGTGCCTCCCCTCCCGCCAAGGAGCCGGAAAAACCTGCAGCGGAGCCCAAAGCGGAGGTGTCTAAGGCTGCGGAAGTCGCCGACCCTGCCCCCAAAGCCAAGGAGAAACCAGCCGACCCTGCGAAAGAGCCAGCCCCCGCCGCTAAGGAAGCCGCCCAAGCTCCAGAGGTCAAGGCCCAGGCACCTGCACCACCCGCAGCCCAGGCTGAAAACAAAGACGAGGCCGACGCTAAAAAGACTGAGGACCCCGCAGCACCAGCAGCTAAAGCCGAGGTGGCCCCTGTTGCCGCTGTCCCCCAAGCCAAGCCCACAGAAGCAGCAGTGGCAGCCCCGGCCAAGGAGGCCCCAGCCCCTAGTTCATCAGCAGCACCGCCGGCTTCCGCTGAGCCCGCCACACTGGTCAAGGAGGCCAATGCAACAGAGGCACCAGTTCCAAGCAAGGATCAAACCGTAGCAGTTCAAGATTAATGGACGCTTCTTTTAAGAAAATAAATTACGTTAAACAACAAAAATGAAGTAAAAGAGAGAAAAAATGAAATTAAATAGCCCACCCATATTAATATTATAATAATTATAATAATAATAATGATTTGTTGGAGGAGGAGGATTGTGACAACAACCTTGAGAAGGATGATGCTGCTGCTGCCGATTATTATTGTTATGGTTATTCTATTTTTTCTGCTGTAGTATTTGAACTTTGATACAAGTCTGTGTCAACCATATGCCCCTCCATTTCACACCATCCTTCCTCCATCCATTTCTGGGATTCAACATTCTCCGCCTTCATCTCGCTCACAGTCCTCTGAGACCTCTGTGGTCTGGGACCATACACGTACATTCCCCTGGACAGTGTGCTGCGGATGTCTTAAAACGAAGTGGAAAAAAAGGGGTTTACCAGCTGGACATGCACTCTGTCTGTCCCATCCTCGACTCACCCCCTCCCCCATTCCCCAAACTCGCTCCTCTCCAGAGTGCCGTGTTCTCTGCTACCGTACCTGTCACCTCTGTTTTGGCGCCAAGTGAGTTCCCTTTGCTGTCCTCATAGTCTGCAGCTTATTTGGTATTTTTGGGTTGTTCGCGCTATATGTGGTCACTCAGTTTCTTGCCGCCTGTTTCCCGACAGGTTCATGCCACCTCGCTCAGACTCTGAGTTGAGAGGAGGTACTTTGAAATTCTGAGACTTTCCCAGAGGTACAATATCTGTCTACGCATTCTTAGGCATATGAAGATGTCCTAAGAAGTTTTTTTTACAACACTCTTATACCTTCTTAGTTTTTCTAAGAAAAACAGTAGTTGTAGATGATCTGGATGGTTTTTGAAGCATTTCTTAAATGTTCCTAGAAATCCTGAAAAGCTTTGTAGATTGTTGTCAGACGTTCCAGCTCTGAATTCGTAGACATCGGGAATTCTCAGTTCTTCTGGGCCATTCTGACTGCAGCATAGTCTGTTTCTCTTCCTTACAGTGGGGGGGTGGTTGTTATCTTATTTCAGTTGAAAAGGAAGACATATCTACTGTGTTTTAATCAATTTAGCTCAATGGCTCTCAGCCTATAGCACAAAGGTGCAATACATTTACACTCAAAAAAGGGATAGTGCCCAGCTGACAACAGTAGTAGTGTTGTCTGGGGATGGGGGTTCTAAATGAATGGTACTGCATGAGGCATCTGCAGCCTACTCAAGCTGCCATGGTCCTTGTAACCATGGCTACCATGTGACATGTTCGAGTAGTAAGATGGAAGAAACTCGCACAAGGAAGGGAGCCTCTAATCTTGTCATCTCCACCTACCATGCATTTTCCTCTACTTTCTGCTCATATATGTTACATATATGAAAATATATGTAGGTATATATGTAGATTTATTCACCCCATTCATTCATTGTCATTCGTTCATTGAGTACCTTTCGGTCAGTTTCTCCCAGTTGACACACAACATTTATTTTTGCCCAACAATGTAGAAACGTTGCGAGGAATGTTGTGTGTCACTTGGGGGATTGTCTCTTCCTCTCTTGACAAAGTAATTGCATGTCCGTGGTTGGGTAAACCTGTGTAGTCCTGTCTTTCGGTGAAGTGGAAAATAGCTTTTTTCAAGTCTGCATTCATGGCAATTACAGTTGATATTTCATTCCATGTCTTACCGCTATCTCCACACCACCTCTCATTCAAACAAAATAAAATAAAAATGTAAGCATTCAAATTATATGTACTTGTATAAATGGTGCAACAGTAATAAAATTTAAGAAATTGATTGAAACTTCAGGCCTCTAGCAAGACCATATTTTGTTTTCCAGCTTTGTCACACACATCAAAAAACTATCAGGCCTGCCTTCACCTTTTGAACTGTCTCTGTCTGAACAGCATTTGGCATTGGGCTTGGAAAGAGAGAGCTCGAGACCTGCATTCAAGCTCAAGTGCTGTAGATATGACTGACGTCACTGTGTTTGCTTAGCAGCTTTGCTTCCTTCCCTATCTGGGTACACTGTCCTTTAATGCTGAGCGATTAGTGCTTTTTGAGGTTGGTTCGGTTTCGGTTCGGTCCTAAAAAAAATAAGCATGGTCTTCGATAATTTTTTAAAACATGAAATGCATTATGAGCTTTTTCCATGGAAATTCCAAAGCCAGAAATGGTGAACATTCAATTGCCAAAACATTAAAAACGTTCCCTTGTCTAGGTGTACATTGGTAGACATCAGCAGAAAAATTATCAAATGCCAGAATTTTCTCCATCTCCTTAGCTATCATACTCTAATTCCACTGATTTCAAAACTCGGACCTCCAGAAAGTGGAGAGCAACACTTATGCAGTTATACTACGTGATATCTTTCAAAAAAGCTGCGTTAGAAAGGATTACCTACACATACTGACCAGCTCATGTTATAGGCAGAAGCGTGCTACATGGCAGACCAATCCGAACTCATCTCTCGACATTTCCAGCCCATTCATTATCTCAGCCAATCATGGCTATCGGGAAGGTTGCTGTCTTTTTCCGTGGCTAAACCAACTAGGCTCATAATTTAACAATTGTATTCGTATTTACAGATGGCAGATGATTAAAAAAAAGTTTACGTTCAAATGGATCTCCTGTGAAGTAGTGATGCGCTACATATTCACTGCAACCAGTTGCCGGGAAATGTTTTAGAGTGTAATGAAGAACCCTACACGGATGGTTATTCGAAGAACCAATATTAAAAGGTTCTCCACAGCCCAAAAAAGTGTTCCCTTCCAGGGACAAAATTAAGAACCCTTTTTTGGTACTAACTAGCACCTTTTTTTTTGAGTGTGGGATAGAGTTTATACTTTTCACCGGGACAATTACAAAAAGTTTCATGCCAAAGACACACCATAATGGCTTTCCAAGAGGTGTTAAGTGTTCCTGAGTGGTCCAGTTTCAGTCCTGACTTCAATTTGACTTAGGTTTGAATATTGCTTTCTATCAATAAGCCGGTTCAAGTATCTCAGAAACGTCCGGCCTCCTGGGCTTATCATGCATGACAGAGTCTAGGGTTTACCAAGAATTGTGCGACAAACAACAAACATTCAGTCAGCGGCAGTCCTGTGGGCGAAAACAGCTCGTTGATGAGAGAGGTCCTAGGAGAATGGCAAGAATCGTGCAAGCTAACAGGCGGGCCACAAGCAAATAATGGCGCAGTACAACTGTGGTGTGCAGAACGGCAGCTCGGAACACACAACTCGTCTGTCCTTGTCACGGATGGGCTATTGCAGCAGACGCCCACACCGGGTTCCACTCCTATCAGCTAAAAACAAGAAGAAGCAGCTCCATTGGTCACGCGATCACCAACATTGGACAATTGAGGAGTGGAAAAACATTGCCTGGTCCGACAAATCCCGGTTCATGTTGTGTCATGCTGATGGCAAAGTCAGGATTTGGTGTAAGAAGCATGAATCCATGGCCCCATCCTGTCTGGTGTCAACGGTACAGGCTCGTGGCGGTGGTGTAATGGTGTGGGGAATATTTTCCTGGCACACGTTAGGTCCCTTGATAACAATTGAGCAATGTTTGAATGCCACACCTTGTAGAATCCATGCCCAGAGAATTCAGGCTGTTCTGGACACAAAGGGGGGTCCAACCTGGTACTAGATGGGTGTACCTAATACACTGTCCACTGAGTGTATGTTGCCCTAGGAGTTGTGCAAAGTTGGTAGAATCTTATTCAAAATGATACACAGCTGTAATGGCTGCAAAAGTGCTTCCACCAAGTATTAACTCTGGGGTGTGAAGACATACACAATCAATACTTATTTATTTTGTATTAATTAGGAACATTTTCTATAATGTTCACTTTGAAAATGTGGACTAGGTTGTGTAGATCTATAGGAAAATAATAAAATTCCTTTTTAGATTAAATTTTAAGGCAGCAAAATGTGACGACTGTGCAAGAGGTGTGTAGACTTTCACTAGGCACTGGATGTATTGATTAATTACAGATATGAAAATAGGCTTTTGACTTGCCATCTTGGAGCAAGCTAATGCGTACCATCTTGTGTGTCTTTTAAATTGGTCTATGTTTTTATGAAGTACCATTTGAGTGTCATAACCTTCAGCCCCCAGGTAGATGATGTTGCCTAAGATGCGTCAACATAATAATTTCAATCAACACAATGTTTTACTCGAAACACAACCATCAATTTTTTTGCTGACTGGTGGCTTTGTGAGAGACCCATATTAAGGTATAACTAGAGCCAGACGGGTGTTCTTTGACCAGTATTTCCAGCATTATCCACTGGGTTTGCTGCAGGCAGAAAATCCTAGGAAATGCTCTTTAATTGACACAAGATGGCTCCAATCAATAATTTAATGTCTGGTTGTGCATACGTGTTTGGTGGGGGGATCGCCTAAACTAGGGGAGGCTTGGCATGAGAATCTTAATTGCACAAAGCCTAGGATTTGATAGTGAATACTATTTGTAGATCAGTGATTCTACACCTCACTTTGCTCAAGCTGATCCTCCAACAGACTCTATCCCTGATCATCCAAGGTTATAAAAATGGGGCAATACCCCGCTCGGACGCTCTTTGTAGACAACAATATATTCTGCAAAACCTGCAGATTTTTATAAGAAAGACAGGATAGACAGCCATCTGAAAAGAAAATATTATGCTGTCTCAGAAGAATGCTTCTACCATAGAAGGTTGTGGAGGATATAGTGAAACAGTCATCCTTAAGTAACAAGACAACATCGATCAACAAAAATATTTCACAATGTATTCGTTGTCTGTTATTAACATATTGGTATGATAGGCATTTTTATATCAGAAAATGTAGAAGGGGAAATGTAGACTTTTCAGAACATAAATGGCTAGCCTAATTTAATTGACTCTAGAGGCGTCACTACAGACCCGGGTTCAATCCTGGGCTGTATCACAACCGGCCGTGATCGGGAGTCCAATAGGGCGGCTCACAATTGGCCCAGCATTGTCCGGGTTAGGGGAGGGTTTGGTCGGGATAGGCTGTCATTGTAAAATAAGAAGTTGTTCTTAACTGACTTGCCTAGTTAAATAAAAAGTGTCGGAAAACATTTCATTTTAAATCAATCCACATGGTTGGGAATAAGTGTTTTACTAAATCGATAATTATGTTAGAGGACCATGGTATTCACACGTGACAATGAATTCACACGTGGTGTGAGAAAGTGCTATATCGGCCTCGACGTTCGGAAAGTAATTCAAACCCCTTGACTTTTTCCACATTTTGTTACATTAGCCTTATTCTAAAATGGATAAAATAAAATAAATTCCTCATCAATCTACATCATACTCCATAATGACAAAGAGAAAACAGGTTTCTTGATTTTTTTTTTGCAAATGTATAAAAAAAACAACGTATTTACATAAGTATTCAGACCCTTTGCTATGAGACTGGAAATTGAGCTCAGGTGCATCCTGTTTCCATTGATCATCCTTGAGATGTTTCTACAACTTGGAGTCCGCCTGTGGTAAATTCAATTGATTGGACATGATTTGGAAAGGCACACACCTGTCTACATAAGGTCCCACAATTGACAGTGCATGTCAGAGCAAAAACCAAGCCATGAGGTCGAAGGAATTGTCCGTAGAGATCCGAGACAGGATTGTGTCGAGGCACAGATCTGGGGAAGGGTACAAAAAAATGTCTGCAGCAATGAAGGTCTCCAAGGACACAGTGGCCTCCGTCATTCTTAAATGGAAGAAGTTTGGAACCACCAAGACTCTTCCTAGAGCTGGCCGCCTGGCCAAACTGAGCAATCCGGGGAGAAGGGCCTTGGTCAGGGAGGTGACCAAGAACCCGATGGTCACTCTGACAGAGTTCCTCTGTGGAGATGGGATAACCTTCCAGAAGGACAACCATTTCTGCAGCACTCCACCAACCAGACGGAAGCCACTCCTCAGTAAAAGGCACATAACAGCCCGCTTGGAGTTTGCCAGAAGGCACCTAAAGGACTCTCAGACCTTGAGAAACAAGATTCTCTGGTCAGATGAAACCAAGACTGAACTCTTTGGCCTGAATGCCAAGCGTCACGTCTGGAGGAAACCTGGCACCATCCCTACGGTGAAGCATGGTGGTGGCAGCATCATGCTTTGGGGATGTTTTTCAGCGGCAGGGACTAGGAGACTAGTCAGGATCGAGGCAAAGATTAATGGAGCAAAGTACAGAAAGATCCTTGATGAAAACCTGCTCCAGAGTGCTCAGGTCCTCAGACAAGGGCGAAGGTTCACCTTCCAACAGGACAACAACCCTAAGCACACAGCCAAGACAAGGCAGGAGTGGTTTTGGTACAAGTCTCTGAATGTCCTTGAGTGGCCCATCCAGAGCCCGGACTTGAACCCGATCTAACATCTCTGGAGAGACCTGAAAATAGTTGTGCAGCAACGCTCCCCATCCAACCTGGCAGAGCTTGAGAGGATCTGCAGAGAAGAGTGGGAGAAACACCCCAAATACAGCTGTGTCAAGCTTGTAGCGTCATACCCAAGAAGACACGAGGCTGTAATCGCTGCCAAAGGTGCTTCAATAAAGTACTGATTAAAAGGTCTGAATACTTATATATATATATATATATATATATATATATATATATATACACACACTACCAATCAAAAGTTTGGACACACCTACTCATTCAAGGGTTTTTCTTTATTTTTTACTATTTTCTATATTGTAGAATAATAGTTTAGACATCAAAACTATGAAATAACACATATGGAATCATGTAGTAACCAAAAAAGTGTTAAACAAATATATTTTATAGTTGAGTTTCTTCAAA